ATAAGATAATTTCTCCACTGACAGAGAAAGAAAGTTGGTACTCGGATCATTTGTTCTTGTTATGTTTTGATGTTGATGTTGTTGAATAGACTAGACCTTAGACATTAGAACAAGTAGTTATGACAGCAAGTGACAGCACTTGAGAACAAAACGAGTCGAGCTTGAAACAAAGTGTACTTGATCATGTATTCTAATCATTCTGATGGGGATTTGTCGTCAGTACTTGCACTCTTCGCGACTTTAAGCAACAGTGAGTTAAAAGAATTCCTGGAAGATGATGCAAAATTGGACACTTTCTTGAAAGACCAAAAGCAGGTTAGTGGACATGAGAACACAATAGCAGTACCGTGGCCTTATTAAATGCATCTCAACTAAGTTTCAAATTTATCTCTAACATATACTTCATTTTTTCAAAATAGATCAAGGGTTTGGAAGAGCTGGAAACCGCCAAAGAAATGGCATTGGCCAGCAACAGATCTCTTGCGGAATTCAACTTATCTCGACAGAGAGAGTTAACTGAAGGGAAGTGCCGTTTGCAGCAAGTGAGTGAGGAAGGGCAGAAACTTCTTGAAAACATAGAAAATATTGCTTCACAGCTCAGTGAGTGTTTTCGTATTATCTCAAAAATTTTATCTCTAGAATTCCTACTCATATCTCTTCTCTAAACTAACATTTGTGTCATCTTGTTCCTTTCAGAGGAGAAAGCAGGAACAACTAATGCTGAAACAGTTTTAGCACTTCTTCAAACCTCAGCTGCCGAAATGGAAGAGGAATCAGAGGTAGTTTAACCTCAGACTTCATCAAAGTATATACTATTTTCTGTGTCATACTTTTTACTCACTTTGGTTATTCTCTTTGATTTCCGACTTGACAGAAAGTTGCAGAGCGCTTCCTTGAAGGCGAAATAGACATTGATTCATTCCTTGATCAATTTCAAAACACTCGGAAGATCATGCACCTTCGACGTGTCAAAGCCGATAAAATGTCCGATCTTCTTACCAAACAAACCTCACCACAGGGAGGACCAGCTGCTGCTCCAGCTCCTTACCCGACTTTCCCTACGGGAGGGTCGTCCTATTATCCCCCAGCTCCCCCTGTGGGTGGAGCGCCGTACCCCATGGGCCCCTTCAACATGCCCCTTCCAGGGGGATACCCAATGCCCCGTTATTAGTCATGTTTAGGATTTATGTTATTAGCTCTTACTTTATTTCTTGTTGTAATATATGACTATGTTAAATTTTAAATGTCTGTGTTCTTCTGCTACTTTTAGTTTATAGTCTGACTGCGGTACTGTAGATGGAGGAAAACAAGTAGAAAAGAAAGAACAGGGTAAAGTTACAGTACAGCAATGTAAACTCTTTTAGATTTATTTTAAGATTTAAATACATACACAGCCATAAAGATTTTTACATAAATATATTTGCCTTTGTGATTAATAGTTCCTAGATCCCTGTAGAACTTAAACTATTTTAATACCACATTAAGAACAAAAACAATTAAGACTAAAGACTTTAAGTAGTCTTACTTGGGGTGAACACTCTTAACAGGTTGGGGAACATCATTCTTTTGAAATTCTAAAATTGCAACTGCTATGAGAATAATTCCAACTAGATATGTTGCTATTTTGTTCTGTGCTGTTAAAGACTTATCATAAGATTTAAAGTTGCCTTTTTTACTTGATAAGTCAGTAGTTCTCTGAGACATTTCTTCTCGAATTCTTCTATTACTGACAACTGATTGACTATAGTGTTCTTTTGTCCATGCATCAAAGTTGTACATCTTTCCAACTGTTGGACTATTCATTTTGTTTGCAAGTCTTGATTTGTAAAATGCAGCTCTGGGATCATCTGCAGTTTTAAATCCTGGTGCAGCAGCCCGTTTTCCTTTCATTCCTGGTATAGATCCCATTCCTTTATCATATCGTGTTCTAGCGTCTTCATTTCCAAGAATTTCATAGGCTTCGGCAATCTCTTGGAATTTGGATGTAGCCGTAGGATCGTTGACATTAGCGTCTGGATGATGCTTTTTGGAGAGTTTGTAGAAAGCTGACTTAATGTCAGCTTGACTTGCCCCTCTTTCAATGCCTAGAGTTTCATAGTGGGATTTCTGATGAAGCAGAGCCGAAGAAGAGACATTTCTTGCATTCTGCACGGTCAGCGTCAGTAACTTGTTCTTATTCATTCTTCCCAATCGAAACAAAAGTATGTATCATTAAAACAGTTCCCAGGCCAGTATAGTGTCAGCTATAGGTTAGTTCTCGACGTCTGCTTCCGTCGCTCGTGATGAGGCGCAGAAGAATCGACGGTTGTCAGTGCATTTAAATGATGGGGCCAGGAAGAGCGATCACTGCAATCAGTCTTTCTCCACCAACTTGTTAAAGATAACGTAGTGCTCGACCGGGATTCATCTTACAGCACACGAAATAAAATCCCATCCCAAGGGCGAAAAACAACACGAACGGCTGGCTGGCCAGCAGAGCTTCAGTCCTGTGCGGACAGGTGGCGTTCGGGTGCGCTGATGGCGCGAAAATTTGACATGTCTTCCCCGTCTAGGCACGTGTTGTGACCTTCGCAAGGTGTGACATGAGCTGAGCTTGTCGCTGTCTCAACCTTTACTGTACAACAGGGTTGTTTTTTGAACCATTCTTAATTTTTCAGAAATACAACAGGAGACGTGGTGGCAACAAAAAATAAATTTTATATGTATTTTAGAAAATCCCTGCACTGAGTAATACTCGTGAAGGAGGGTTTCCTCTCTTGCTCGGGGCGGGCCAGGTGCCCCGGGCGGGCCGCCGTCGCCACTGAGGTGCTGCGCGGGTCGGCCTAGGCCATCGCGTGGCAGGCGCCGCCCCGGGGAACGTTGTTCACTGTGGGGACAAGAGATCAGGGAGGGCCCTACCTCTTGGTGGGGCGATTATGCAGGTGGTGTGGCGACACCTTTCACGCGTCAGGTAGTGTCAGAGCTGCCACACACTCCACCGTCGCATCGCGAGGCCGCCCGGGGGGATGTCGAAGCGATGCCCCCCCGATATGAGCCGGGCCGGAGTGGTTCTGCGTTGCGCCCGCACGGTGGGCGGGAAGTAGTGTGGGGGTGCCGGCTGGCTGGTCCGCGGCCGCGCCAGTCTCAGTCGGCAGGCAGCCGCGCCGGGCTGCAGGTCGAGCGCGTCCCCCCGCCGCTGGCGCCACCCCCCGCGCGACGTGCTGCACATCGCCATGGCCTCCGCCGGGTCCGCCGCCGCGCCGGCCCGCGCGCTCGCACTCCCGGCACTGAACCGCGTCGCGGCCGTCGTCTCGTCGCCGTCGTCGTCGCCGTCGTTGGACGCGAGCTAGTGTGCTGCTGCATCCTCGCGCGCAAAACCGTTTGTGTCGACGACATAGCAGGGTCGCCGGCCCGGCCGCGCCTGCCCCGCGCCGCGCGCACCACCACGACGACGGACGCCCTGTCCACCTTGTCCGGGGCCTCCGGGGCTCTGGAGGCAACAGGGGCCGGGGCCTGCCACCCGAGGAGCGCCAGGTCAGTCCCGGATCTTTCTTTTAGCGGGGCGGGACGACAAATTCCACAAAAAAAGGGACAAGCGAAATGGTGCATGTAAGACCGAGGGGCACTTCACTGGAGGGAAAAAAAACACCGTCCAAAATTTCTTTTAGAAAAATCATGAAAAAATACAAACAAATAATCAAGGGAAATCAAGAGAACTCGGCGTACGCTTGAGTTTAGTGCCAGGCTGCTGTCGTGCATTCCCTTTAGTAGATGTGAGGGCACAAGACACGCAGAAGCGTAACCGACTGACGCTCTCCTTCTGCGGGTGAGATGCGCCGGTGCGGATGTGTGGCAGACACACCGCCGTAAGTGGGTGTGTGGAAGCGGGAGGAGGAGCGCAGTGCAACTCCCTCCAGGGGGGGGCACTTGGGCACATGTACGTGCACGCCCCCTGCTGCTCCCCTCGTACAGGTACACGCTCCTCCGTGCGCACGTACGTTCGAGCAGCAGCGTTTGGTGTGTTTACTCGCGTCAAAGGTCGTCGCGTAGGTGGAGAACGCGGGGGTTGCCCCCAGACGCACGCCCCCGCCGCCCCCCCAAGACACGCAGAGGAGAGCGAGCATGTGGTGGTGGAGGAGGAGCAGTTCGAGTGGGGGAGGTCGCGGTGTCGCGGGGGGAGTGGGAGGGGAGGCGGCCGCCGCCCGCCCCCGGGAGGTCGCCGTCCGTCCGCTTGTTTGACTTGCCCTCCGCGCGCCAATTCCTCCCGACGGACAGGTCCGTTTATGTTTCCAGAGATCTCTGTGATGACGGGGAGGTACG